ATTTGCTGGACCATGCGTGTTTGTAATGAGGGTTCTCTTTTTCATTTTTCTGTTGTAGTTATTGTTCAGTGGAGGAGAGGGGAAATAAAGAAACAGATTATGAATGCATGTAAATAAATAAATATTTTTAAAAGGTGGGATTTGAACTCAATCTTGATGGAAGTCAATGAAATTAAGAAGCTGAGGTGAGGAGGGAGAGCATTTCAGGCACTGGAGATATTGAAAAGATACAGAGTAAGGAGATGTGAGAAACAGGAAAGGAGCAAAATCTCATTCCAGGTGAGCACTATGGAACTTACAGTTTTTGTTTCAGGGATGGGCTGTTAGACATACTGGAGGTCTACAGAAAGTTTTACTCCAGGTGTTCTCCCCAGGTGTCTTTCTTTGAATGTTTATGTTTCACTGCCCTCCCCAACCCCAAATCCTTCACCAGCCCTGTCCTCTGGGGAAAGGAAAGAAAGAAAGTACAAAGGAAACAAGCATTTATTAAGTGGTTTATTAAGTATTATTAAGTATTAAGTGTGGCAGGCACTGTGTTAAGTGCTTTACTGTGTCGGCCGCGCTGTACACTCTTCTCCTATAAGGAGCAGGCTGCCAGAGTCATACTTACCAGTCTTCGGTGCCTACCCAGATAAACACACAGAGACTAGACGACCAGGAGGTGCCAACACCTGAGCTTTATTCAGAGGCCATCACCGCAAGGCCAAGCAGGAAGGCCATAGCAAGAGAGCAGGAGCAAAGAGAGCCCGAGCTCCAACCATGACCATTCCTTAAGTACCTACTTAGCCCCTCCTCCTCAGCCCACCTACTAGTCATTGATTGTAGGGTCAGATACCGGAAGGGGATATCTGAGTTTAGCGCACCAAGGGAGAGGAAGTGACGCAGGAGGCTAGGACCGGATACAGGAAGGAGGCGTCTAGAATTAGTGCATAGACAAAGAGAGAGCACGTGACCTAGGAAGGCAGGCCCAGATACCGGGAGGAGGCATCTGGGGTCAGTGCTATACAAAGGGAAGGTACGTGACCCAGGAAGTCAGGAAGGACACAGGAAGGAGGCGTCTGGGGTTGACGTTGCATTTAGGGAGGGGACTAAGCAAAGGGAACTCATCCTCTGCCATCCCACTCCCACGTGGCACAGCCCCCTGCCTCAGGAGCGTGAGCTCCGGTTACTTCTCCATATCCAGCCCATCCCAGTTCACCACAACTCCGCCTAGCACAGCCCCTGCCTCAGGAGCATGAGCTCCGGTTACTTCCTAATACCCAGTTCCTACCCCATCTTGCCACAACCCCCACTTGGCAGTAGCGAACATCAGACAGTCCCTCACACTTTACAAATATTTCATTTGGTCTCCCACCCTGGGAGTCAAGTGCTATTACTATCCCCATTTTACAGCTAAGGATTCTGAGGCAGACAGAGGCAGATTTTCCTAAGGTCATACAACAATTTAGTGTCTGAGGCAGGATTTTAACTCGGGTATTTCTTACTGCTGACCCAGCACTCTATCTACTGTGTCACCTAACGACCTGAGCAGGGCTTTCTCACAATGTGTGTCTTCCCTCAATGCCGCTGGCAAATTTTGCTATTTACTAATAATATTTGTAATAAGATAATATTTGTAAAAAGTTCTTGGGATGATGCATTCTGGGAAGATGGTGGAGTAGATCAGAAATTTCCAGGCTCTCCGTATTTCCTCCACAAACAGACAGAAAATCACCACAAAATGAATGTAGAACAGCAAAAATGAAGGAGTAAAGCAGTTGTCCTGACCTAGGACATCTTGAGAGGATCTCAGATAAGACTCCAGGTGTTCAGGTTTGGTCTGAAGAAAGTGTAAACACCTCCAGGCCAGTTCCACTGAACCAACAAATAGAGGAGGCCTCAAAAAATTTTACCTTAAGAACTTTTACATCACAAACTTTCATCTAGAGAACAGCAGAGCTGAATGGAGGAAGACTGAAGGACCCTTTGCTGTTTCTGGAAGTCAGGCCTCCTGTGCTGTCCCAGCTGTAGTTGATGGGAAGGAGGTGTGAACTCACACCCTGCAAATGTGGTAAACACAGAGAGCAAGAACATTTTAGGGACAGTATGTTTGGGGGTTCTAATTGTGGCTTAGGAGAGGGTGATAGGAGTCCCTGAGGTTGAGCCTCTAGACAGAATTCAGAAAACAACAGTAAGGAGGACATGAGGCCTAGGGCAACATTTTCCACAACTCAGAATTAAAATTTATTAATAATATTAAGCTGTTAAAAATAAAATAAGGCAGATTAAAAATAAAAATGAGAAAGCAAAGGAAAAAGAACCTGAACATTGATAGCGACTCTGGGTTCATATTCAGAAGAATATAGTGAGGTTAAAAAAAAAAAGCCACTCCTAATCCTAAAGAGTAACATCAAATGGTCACAAGCCCGAAAAGAAATCTTGGAAGAATTTAAAAAGGAATTCAAAATTCAAATAAAAGAAAATAAGGAAAAATTAGAAAAAATAAAAGCAATTCAAAAAAATTATGAAAAGATAGTTAACCAACTGGAAAAAGAGGTACAAAATTTTAAGGAAGAAAATAAAAAGGAATTCAAAAAATCAAATAAGAATGAGTAAAATTTAGAAAAAATAAAATAAATCCAAGAAAATTAGAAAAAAAAGTTAACCAATTGGAAAAAAGAAATAAAATCTTAAGGAAGAAAACAACTCCTTGAAAACTAGAATTGGCAATTGGAATAGGATGAGGTTATAAGATACCAATATATAATAAAACTAGAAAAAATAGAAGAGAATCTGAAACGTCTCAGAAAAACAACTGATCTGGAGAACAGATCAAGGAGAGATAATATTGTTGGACCACCTGAAAGTTATGATAAAAAAAAAACAATCTGGATATAATATTACAAGAAATTATTAAGGAAAATTGTTCTGAAGTTCTAGGATAAAAAGGTAAAGTAGAAATAGAAAGCACCCAGCAATCATCACTCAAAAGAGATCCTAGGAAGAAGGAAACTCATAACCAAGGTTCAAAATTCCCAGGTTAAAGAGAAAATATGGCAAGCAATAAGAAAAAAAAACAATTTAAATACTGTGGGAAAACAATCAGAATTTCACAAGACCTGGCAGCTTCCACACTAAAAGACTATAGGTCTTGGAATATTATATTTCAAAGAGCAAAGGAGCTGGGGTTTCATCCAAGAATAATTTATCTAACAAAGTTGAGTATAATATTGAAGGGGAAAAAAATGTACATCTGATGAACTGAAAGACTTTCGAGTATTTGTAACAAAAAGACCAGAATTCAATTGAAAAATTGATATTAAAGATCCAGAAGAAATATAAGAAAATCATTAAAGACTAATTATAAGGCATTGATTAAGGTCACATGGTTTACTTATGACATATGAAAATGTTATTAATATTAGCAATATTAGTTATTATTATTCATAATAGTATTATTAAAACTGTTATCATGGGGGCATGTTATCATAAGGCAGTGCATAGAGCTCTGGCCTTGGAGTCAGGAAGACCTGAGCTCAATTCCAGCCTCAGACACTTAATGCTTAACACTTGTGTGACCCTGGGCAAGTCACTTAACCCCAATTGCCTCACCAAAAAGCCAAAAAAAAACTCACAAAAAACTGTTATCATTACTAAGATTGTTTGAAAGAAAGGTTGAGGCTGCGTTATGTATGATGAGGTGATTCTAAAACACAAAATTGGGTAGGAAAAAGCTAAAAGGAAAAATTATCTCGTAAAAATGGGGCATGAAAAGAAAAACTAATACAGAGGAAGCAGGTGGGTGTGGAGGGCTAGTGCATTGAAGAGGAAACAATGTATACATCTGAAGAGGTTTAGAAGGTTTTTGAACTTCTAGAGAGGTGAGAAAACTGGGGAGTACGGTGGGAGAGGGATTTTTAGAATGGTATCTTGATTAAGATTAGGAGGATAGGGTAAATACATCATAAAGGAGGGACTTTTAGAAGGGAGGGTAAAATAAAGAACAAGAGGGGAAAAGATAAGATAACTGGGATAGGGTGAAAAGAGAAATAGAAGGAAAGTAGTGAGTAAAAATAAGATGGAGGGAAATTCACAAATAGCAATTATAATTTTGAATGTGAGTGGGAAATGAATTGGGGAATGGCTGAACAAGTCATGGTATATGATTGTGATGGATTACTACTGTGCTATAAGAAATGATGAGCTCAATGATCTTAGGAAAACATGGAAAGACTTGCATGAAATAATGAAGAGCAAAATGAGCAGAACCAAGAGAACATTGTATATAGTAACAGTAATAAATTGTATACAGTAACAGTTTTAGGAACAACTTTTAGTGAATAAGTTATTTTGTCTATTATAAATACCCAAATTAACTATAAAGGACATATGAAGAAAGATTCTATCTGCATTCAGAGAAAGAACTGATAAATAGAAGTATATATGAATGATTTTGCATAGATATATACCTATTTGTGTCTAACAGTAGTCATCTCTTGGGGGAGAGGGAAGAAAAAAATTTACGTGATAATTTTGTTGTGTATTTGAAAGGAATAGCAAGTTGTGTATAATAGATTTGTAGTTTCATGTACAATCATCTTTTTATTGTACTATGTTATGGAAATACTTGGTTTATTCCATAAATTAAAAATAAATAAATAAAGATACTGTTATGGGGGGGGGGGAGGAAATGCTTGCTACAGTGCCTGAAAAATATTAGATGCTATACAAATACTATTCCCTTCCCTTTACTTCCCTTCTAGTATCTCCTAACACAGAAATTGAAACTGTCTAGTGACTTCTCATTGTTAAAAGGGCAGGGTGGGGATGGGGGTGGGGAATGAGAGAATGTCTAACTAGGGTCTTCTGAAGAATAAGTCAATCCAGTATGGCAGAAACTAGGTGTAGATCAATATCTGCATCCCTCTGTAGTTGGTTGCTAGCCTACCACACATCATTTTTGATAGAGAACATCTACATAATGGAAATTCACAGTTTCACATACAATCCTCTTTTTCTGTTCTTTGTATATGAAAATCCTTGTTTATTGGTGTTTCTCAGCTTTAGAGTAACAAAAAAAAATTTTCTTAAGAAAAAATGAAGTAAATGCACAATGGTTTCTCCATAATCTCATATTCAGGTTTTAGGTAGAGTCACATTTTTTACCTTCAACAATAGCAGGAGAAGATGCAGGAATACCCTACAGCCAATCCATCTCTGCAAATATAGGGATTCTATGTCAGATGAGGAACTAGGGGAGCTGTGTTCTCAGATTGGCAACTCTCCATTGGGCATAGACAAGAAACTCAATGTTGCATAGTGTCTCACAACAGGACTCCCATCTTCTCACTCCTCCTCTGGATTCTCTTTGTGTCAGGATCAGACTTGTCCAATTCTCAGGACCCCCAGGAATCCAAAGAAGAAAGTCCCCTTCCCCAAAGAGGAAGAACCTGAGGAGGCTGAATGAGCAAGAGCTATAGAATCTGAAAGGGAAAAAGGAGAGTAAAAGAAGCAAGGTCACTAGGAAAGTAAAGGAAAAGAACTGTTACAGAGCACAGTACCAAGGGAGACACCAGTAGATGGTGCTCTGAACTCCATCCTAGTAGGTGGTCTGGACCCCTAGACCAGGGGTGGGGAGCCTGCGGCCTTGAGGCCACATGTAGCCTTCTAGGTCCTCAAGTTCATCCTTTTGACTGAGTCCAAGTTTTAGAGAACTAATCCTTTTATTAAGGGGATTTGTTCAGTGAAGTTTGGATTCAGTCAAAGGATAGCACTTGAAGACCCAGACGGCCAAATGTGGCCTCCAGGTTGCAGATTCCCCATCCCCGCCCTGTAACGGAACAGGGGTTTCTGTTCCTCAAGAAGCTGGGGTTCAGAAGACAGGTCTCCAAATGAGATAATACCCACTTACCACCCCCACCCTTTCATCTCTTCAGAATAGGAAAATTCTAAAAGTATAGTATAGTAGAAAGAACAGTGAACATAGTCAGGAGACACCTGGATTCAAATCTCTCCTTCACCCATAGTACTAATATTACTACTACTACTGCTGCTGCAGCTGCTGCTACTACTACCACTATTACTACCACTACCACTACCACTACTACTATTACTACTGCTGCTGCTGCTGCTGCTACTGCTACCACTATTACTACCACTACCACTATTATTACTAGTTAGCTAACTAGCTAACATTTATATAGAGTTTACTATGTACTAGGTATCATGCTAAATGCTTTACTATTATTATCTCATTTGATCCTTAAAACAAACCTGGAAGCTAGGTGTTGTTATTATCCTCATTTTATAGATGAGGAAACTGAGGCAAATAGAAGTTAAGTGACTTACCCAGGATCACACAGCCAATCAGTATCTGAGGTCTGATTTGAACTCAGCTCCTCCTGACTCCAGGCCCAGCATTCTACCCATTGTACCTCCTAGCGGCCTCTTACTAGCTATGTGACATTGGGCAAGACTTCTGGCTTCTCTGAACCTCTATTTCCTCATCTATAAAAATGGGTTAATAATAGTATTTATCTCACAAGGTTGTTGTTGTGATCATCAAATGAGATAATGTTAAGTTCCCTGAAAACCGTCAAGGGCTATATAAGCCAACTGATACCTCTTTAGTCTAGAAACTGTCTTAAGTTTTTGTGTCCTATAGCATCTAGCACAATACAGGACCATGATACTCACAAGATACCAATGAATAAAACACCAACCTGGAGATGACTGTCCTAGCTAGCAAAAGGTGTGCCTGTTGCGGTCAACCAACTGAACTGAAGTAAGAAAGACTGTGATGCGTACAAGGGGAAGTATCTCTGGTATCAACTGTGCTTCCCTCAGAAAGACTCTATCCCTGAGAGACCCCAGACTCTGAACTCTGGGTAGAGGCTTGGGAAGAATCCCTTCTATGGACAACTTCTCCCAGATCACAAACCCCTGGAGATAACTAGTCCTCCTAGGATTATATATTTAAAGCTGGAAAAGCCTTTTAAAAACATCATTTTATAGATGAGGAAATGAGGCTCAGAGTTAGGTTCTGTCCCTAAAGGACTCCATTTGGGAAAAATTACCCTCCTAGGTCCCAAACTAAGAGAAAAGAGAGAGCAACACATTCTTCATGAAAATGAATGATGCCCTATTTAGTTAATTTCATTTTTCCAGTGAAGTTGAAAGCCCTGGGGAAATCCATCCACAGATGCTCATGTGTTTTCTGTTCTCAATTTCACAAACCCAGAGTTCCTGAAGTTATTAATAACAATTTTGATAATATTAACTGAAACTCGCATTGCACTTTGTGAGTTATGGTACTACTTACATTCATTATTTCATTTGATCTTCCCAGAAACCCTTTGAATTACATAATGTAAGTATTATTATCCCCATTTTAAATCTGAGGAAACAGTTTCAGAATAGACAGAATGACTATGATCATACAGCTAATAAATGATAGGGTAGAATCTTGAACCCAGATCTTTTGGTTTCACTGTCATTTTTTCATTACAGTATACCATAACTACTTCTGACAGCAACAACAGAGTCTGCCCTGGCTTCCTCACTTCCCTACCATTTTTCAGTTCTCTCCAATGTACTTAGCAGAATCATAGAATCTTGGAATTTGGAAGAGAACAAATAAAAATATTAATGAATTATTATTATATATTATAACATATTATATATGTTAAAGCATTATATTAATGAATATTACATTATAATAATAAATTTTAATATTTTAAGGTTTGCAAAATACTTAAAAATATTAGCTTTTATCCCCCTTACATGGAGTTCAATCAGGATGTTGATACAGGAGCCATCAGCACTGATCCTGAAGTTCGATGTAATGCTTACCTCCTTCAGCCATGCCAAGTGAGGGGAAAGGCACTCACTGTGAAGATAAACATTCCATTCTCTTAGTCCCAGAAGAGAAAACTAAGGAGCCAGGAACTTAAGATAAATATCCAGGTATCAATAATTTAAATGCCAGGAGCTCTGCTCCTGAACTCACCATGGATGCTCAAGATGAACTTCTTGTTGGTGCCCACAGAGCAGGTCTGAATGGTTATCAAAGCTCTGTAGGACCCTGCATCCTCCATCCTCAGGGCGCTGATCTCCAGAGAGTAGCTATGGGTAGGGACATTCAACCTTCCCACATAAAGAGGGTTTATTTGTGTGATATTGGCTGGTTTTCTTCCTTGTCCCGAGTACACAACAGCAACCAGTGTTTGTGAAATCCAAGTGATGTTTTCAACCTTTTCTCCTGCCATGATTTCCAAAGGAAGAGTAATCGACTCCCCTACAATGCCAATCAACTCTCCTGGGCCTGCAATCCCTTTGGAGCCTCCTGGCCCTGAAAACACAAAAAGAAAATAACAAAAACCTCCTTACCCCAAATCCACAGGGTCCTGGAAGCCCCCCACCTGTTGACGATTCTTTGTACAACAATATTTCACATTTCTATAGCATTTGGAGCTTTATAAAAAGTTTTGCTCACAATTACCCTTTAAGGGAGTTATTGCAAATATTATCTTCACCCCAATTTTGCAGCTGAAGAAACTGAGACTCTGAGAGGTGTAGTGGTTTGGCCACAATTTCAGAATGTATATGTGTTGGAGCCTAAATTCAAACCTGGTACCAGCTCTCATCATGGTGACAACAAAGAACAGGGTTTGGGGTTGCAAGGCAGAGGAGTAGGTGGAATAATAACAGATTATGATCAAGTAAAGGAATTTCAGAGTTCATGGTACTTGGAATACTTGGGACTGATGCCAAGATAAAGGGTATATATGTATGCATGCATGCATGTATGTATGTATTGTATACACATACATGCATGCACACACATATTCACATAGATATCTATATATATACACATATACATAAATATACACACATACATGTATATATTTGAGGGGCAGTGGAGGAATAAGTGGGGAGATAAATTAGTTGAAGAACTGAGAGGTTAGGGTGTTTGAAGAGTATAAATATGTATGTGTAAGTCCCTTAGTATGAAGGCAGGGATTGCAGAGGAGAAAGACGGTGAGCCAGGTACTGAACCTGTTGAGTAAGGAAGAAGAATATCTTTGAAATCAGAAGACAACAGCCAACAGATTCTTGATTGGCTAGTAAATATGGCTTAAATGAATCTCAAAGGAGGAGTGGTTATAGAGTCATGATGGTAGAGAGGGCTCCTAAAAGTAACAATGAGGAGCAAATAGTGTTCCAATCTCCCTATCATGACCAGTGAGACAGAGGTACAAGTAAATGTTCCACCAGTGTTGGAAAGGGTGGCCTCTAAAACTGTGCCATCAAGAGGAAGCCAGGGTGGGATCTGAGGCTATAGGGTACAAAACAGAAGGCAGGCACCAGTCAAAATAGGTGTCATTCAGCTCTAATGAGAATAATGGCTGACATATAACATAGCTCCTTTAAGGTCTGCAAGTTGCTTAACCTATATTTTTATTTGATCATTGCAACAACTCTTTGAGGTTGGTGCTATTATTATTCCATTTATATACATGAAGAAACTGAAGCTCAGAGAGGCTAAGAATCTTGCCCATGATGCTACAGCTAGTGTCAGAAGAAAGATTTGAACTCAAGTGCCTCCTGATTCCAAGTTCTGTATTCTTTCTACTACTACACACTGCTAAAGCTCTCGTATTCTGTCAGACTTAGGGATGTTTATTATCTTTTTTTGGGGGGGAGGGTTAGACAATGGGGTTAAGTGACTTGCCCAGGGTCACACAGTTAGTAAGTGTCAAGTGTCTGAGGTCAAATTTGCACTCAGGTCCTCCTGATTCCGGGGCTGGTCCTCTATTCACTGAGCCATGTAGCTGCCCCTATTATCTTATTTAGTGGTCCTTTTCCCCTGCCCAGCTTTCTTATGGGGCTTCCTGAGACCCCAGTTCCATTGATTTAGGGACCAGAACTTCCTCTGACATGGAACTCAGAGCCTCATTTATCGGGCCCTCCCGCTGCCCTATACTCTAGGATACCCTAACTCCCCCTTTCTTCTTCTTTTTCCAATGACCTTGTGCCTCTTGATCTTCTTTTTCCCTTTCAGATCTTACAATTCGTCCCCATTTCACCTCTTTGGATTCTTCCTCTTTTGGGAACGGACCTTCCTCTTTGAGGTCTAGGAGATCAACACCTTTTTGGCTTTATGACCTATAAATCTCAAGGCCCTCCAACCACATTTAACCTTCCCTTAAAGGTTGTAGATTGGAGGCATGTCTGAAGCCAATTTGGTTTGGGGTAGGGATAGAGGCGAAATGTAAAAGATTTTAATTATATTATATAATTATATATGATATATTATATAATTATAATATATAATCTATTATTATGCATAATTTTATATTATTTATATTTTACCTGATCTTGATCTTTTAGGACATTTCCTGCCTGACTCATGGGGAAAGTTATTTTCTCTCCAAGATAACAATATGTCATATTCTTTAATCATAGAAAACTTTTGCCCCCACAAAATGCGAATCTGGGCTCCATAGAGACATTGTTTCTACTACGGCAGCACTAGGGGGAGGATGGCATTAAGTAGTTGTTCAAAGTTATTGGGGGCTAATGATGAGATGTACTAATAAGTGTAATAGCCACAAGGTGGCCCCTGAAGCTTGAGATCTGAGCATGAACAAACAAGGATATTCAATACTTAGTGATTAAGTGACTGAATCCTCTGGGCGAAGATAATTCCCAGAGCTCACAGAGGGGTTTTAGTTAGGGGTGGGGAGGCAATGGAGGTAAGGACAGTGACTCCTCCTGCAAGGAAAAATAAGGCATCCCCAGAACAAACTGTGCTTCCCAACTGTAGGAAGAAAACTTTGGAAAGAGTATAAAATAAGGAATAAGAGGGTAAGGGGAAAAGATAAAGTAACAGGGATAGGGTGAAAAGAGAGGCTGAGAAGGAAAATAGTAAAAATAAGGAGAGAAATTCACAAATAGTTATAATTTTAAATGTGAATTAAAAATAATAAAATTCACTTGGAAAAATAAAAAATTAAGAATATCAAAGGAAATAATGAAAAAAAATGTAAAGGAAGGAGGTTTAATAGCACCATTTATATTTTATATTATTATATATAAGGCAGTAATTATCAGAACTATCTGGTATTGGCCAAGAAATAGAAAAGTAGATCAATGGAATAGAGTAGACCTATAATTTACAGCAGGAAATAAACATAATAATCTTGTATTTGACAAGTACAAAGATAATTCATTATTTGGCAAAAAAAAATTTGTTGGGAAAACTGGAAAGCAGTATGGCAGAAACTGGATATAGACCAATATCTTACACCCTTTACCAAGATAAGGTCAAAATGGATACATGACCTAGATATAACAAGAAATTTTACAAGAAAATTAGAAGAACATGGAACATATTACTTAACAGACTTATAGATAGGCGAACAATTTATGAATAAACAAGAAACAGAGAGCAAAGTTAGGTGTAAAATGTATAATTTCAATTACATTAAATTAAAAAAGGTTTTATGTATGTAAAACAAATGTAGCCAAATTCACAAGGAAAGCAGAAAATTGGGGAAAATTTTCTATAGACAGTTTATCAGATAAAGGTCTCATATCTAAAATACATAAAGAACTTTGTCAAATCTATAAGAATATGAGTCATTCCCCAATTGATAAATGGAATTATGCCCAAAGAGTTATTAAACTACCTATATCCTTTGACCCAGCAATACCACTACTTGGTTTATTTCTGAAGATAATTAGGGGAGAAAACCTATATGTTCTAAAATGTTTATGCTTTCTTTGTGGTGGCAAAGAACCAGAAATCACAGGTATTGTTTATAAATTGCGGGATGGCTAAACAAGCTGGGTATATGATTGTGATGGAATACTATTGTGCTATAAGAGATGATGAACTTAATGATTTTAGAAAAACATAAAAAGACTTGCACAAAATAATGAAGAGTGAAATGAGCAGAACCAAGAAAATATTGTTTACAGTAAGAGCAATATTGTTTTAAGAACAGCTTTGAGTGAATAAGTTATTTTGACCATTATAAATACCCAAATTAACTATAAAGGACATATGAAGAAAGACACTATCTGCATCCAGAGAAAGAAGTGATAAATAGAAGTATGTACAGAATAAATTTACATATATATATACAATGCCATACCTGGGTCACAAATGTTACTCATTTATTAAATCATAGAGCATTCAAACATCTGTTGCACTTACCTCCTTTTAGTAAAAATGTCCTTTGCAACATCATGAACTATAAGATTACAAGTGGGGAGTCTATCTCAGAACACTGTGAGGTTACATGTATACATTTCCCCAGGTTTCCTAGATGAAGGCCATGAGCCAAATAAGTTAAAAAGTCTGCTAAAGTGCAGCTGGGCCCTTCAAATCCTGAGTATCTCTCACACAAAGTTTGCATAAGTAATTGTACCCTTTACTATGGCAACCTCCCATACTGCAGTGAATACCTGTTTTCCCCTGACATTTCCAAGATCTAGTTGCCAATGAGACAGAAGTGGAAAGTGGAATAGCCTTAAGACTACTAAAAAGGACAGTTGGCAGAGAAGCACTCCATCATATTCCCTGGTGGGGCTTTTAAAGGGATACATAGTATTTGTAGAGTTGTCTCTTTAGGCATTCAACTTTCTAGTTTCTTTTTTTCTTTCTGGAATAGCACATCCCCAGGGCACACCTGGGACACTAGGAGAAGTTACATCTAATTATATGAGTGGCCCAGAGATAAGTTTTCCAGAGCCAGTCCATAGAAGTTCCAAGTGACTGACTAAATCTGTGTTGTTGTTTGTCCTTTGATCTCAAAGAGGACCATGATATCAGGTGCAAGTGAATTGGATTTAAGTGAGGGAGGGCTGTGCAAAGTCACCAGCATCACTTTCTCCTCCAGAGCCATCTGGATCCAGTGGTCAGATATAGATCAGAGTTGCTGGAGATAGCCCTTCCACCAAATCTGCGAGGAGTCACAAGAAGCTGGACATTGTGGGCAACCCAAGGGGATTTTCCTGGGGCCACAGGCTGAAGTACCAGACAGCAGGTTTCCTGTCCTGACTGCTGGACAGGAAATGGAATCAATGACAGGTCTTAGACATGCAAAGAAGGAGAGAGGGTGAGTTTAGATCACAATGAAGTGGTTTCCCTGCTCTCTTTGACTTTAAGACTAAGACTAAGGCTTGTTAGAATTCCTTTTTGCAAGGGGTCTCTTCGTGAACCTGTCTCTCTGAGGTGAAAGTGAGGAAAGGAGAACAAAAGAGAGGGTGGAAATGTTTAAAATTCAACTTGACCATAAGCTGGTATACTATATCACTTTGAAACTTACAATTTATACCTCA